GATCTTCAAACTTTACCAGTTCTCCATTCTGGTACAGGTGGCAAGTCCAGTTATTTCTATATTGCTAAAGTTTCGTACTTCCATTCCGGGTGCGAATTCTCTATTTCGTGAAAGTGGAGTCAAGGTAGAGGGAGACGAGGCCAGTTTATACTTCGCCACGGTCGCTTCCAATATTCGCAGCGAGTTGAGAATCGCTGGGCAGGTCACCAGTATCCTGGGTCTATGTTCTCTAGGGACCCACATCGTAAACTGAGGAATTTCAAAACCCACCATCAAGGACTCGACTTCTACCCATTTCCTCTCATCCAGTGGGGAATGCCACATAACCACTTGCACCGCGAGGTAGTAGAAGTACAGATTCGGGAGGACCAACCCCGTCCTGTCCTTGCGTCTATATAATACTTGTCTGGAGATCTTGTGTCGTTTATTCTGCCAGTTGAAGTTTCCTATTTGTTGTTGCAGCTGTGCCAGTTGTGCCTTGGAGAGGCAGACAGGTAGCGCCTGGAACAGGAACAATATGCGTGGAAGGATGTTCATCTTGACGGAATGTATCCACCCTATCCACGATATTGGCTTGTCAGTCCATTTTTCAAGGTCTTTCCCCAAAGCCTGGAGCAGAGGGGTGACGTTTGCTGTATACAAACGTTCCGATACCGCTGTCAGTGGGATCCCAAGGTATTTTATGGAGTCCTTTTCCAGCTTTATTTGGTAAGTGTCCCGTATCTGGTCTATGTCTTCCGCTGACAGTCCCACCGGTAATGCGCTCGACTAGTGAAGGTTCGCTTTATATCTGGACACTTCCCTATATTCCGTTATTAAGACTTGAAGTGTGCCCATCGACTCCCTTGGGTTCGTGAGAGTCAGAAGAACGTCGTCCGCATATGCAGATGCCTTAAACTCCTTGTCTCCTACTCTAACTCCACTGATAGTCGGATGCCCTCGTATTGCCTGCAGAAGAGGCTCCAGCGGTAGCACAAAGAGGAGTGGGGAGAGTGGACACCCCTGTCTGGTGCCATTGT